GAACGTTAGCAACTGGACAAATTGAATGCAGCGGTCAAGGAAAAGCGACCAGAATTGGTCGATCGTAAAGGTGTCATTTTCCAGCAGGACAATGCTAGGCCGCACACGTTTTTGTCCACTCGGCAAAAATTGATGGACATTGGTTGGGAATTGATGTTACACCCACCATATAGCCCTGATCTCGCGCCATCGGATTACCACTTATTTCGATCCCTGGACAACTCCCTTCGTGGTAAAACTTTTAATGACGATGACGCTGTGAAATCTCACTTAACTCAGTTTTTGGCCGAAAAGGATCAGACTTTCTACGAGCGTGGAATTTTCAAGTTGTCGGAGAGATGGCAAAAGGTCATCGAACAAAATGGAAAATACATTACAGATTAAACTTCGTTCCAAGTAAAAAAAACATTTTTTATTTAATTGAACAAATCGGTAATTACTTAGTTGCCAACCCAATATTTTGGAAGTGATAACATGTGACCTGCGGCATTTTTCCTAGCAGCCACAGAATTATTTCGTAAAGTCCACTCATCATGGTGATACAATGCTAATCCACTCACACGAAGTCCACAAATAACTCACCTGGCCCCGATTCTATAGGTATTGACTCGTACCCGGCCACGTAATCGTCCTCGTACTGCGTGAAGTTATTAGCATGCTGCTGATAGGAGTCCTCAGACTTCAGCGACCTCGAATCCTTCCTCTCGCGAAGATTCATCGAAACATCCTGGATCTCCTGATCCTGATGCGTTCCTTGCAAAGAGATCTCCATCTCTCTTTCCGCAATAGCGTTCAGACTGTCTGCAAACTCTGCATCGATATCCGTCTGATGAAACTGATACTCCGGAGTCTGCATCTGGTCCAGACTCGCCGCTTCCTGCGTGTTCTCGGCTGCCTTCGCTTCTGTACTGCTGGGACTAGCACTCTCTGTAGCTGGTGGAGTTTTCCAGCGTTTAGCATCGTTGACTCTCTCAGCATCGGACCAGTCGCCATCGGAACTGGTCGAAAAGGTCACGATATTCGCCCTTGCCAGCCTGTTCATGGTTGACCACGTCCACGAACCTTCAGACCTAACTTCGGAGTAGTTGTTGTCCTCAAACCGTCCGAAACGTGAAGACTGCAGCGTGTGCAGCTTCTTGTTGTCTATCTTGTGGACCTCTCCAATCCGTTTCCCATCCAGCTTCTTCATAGGAGTCTTCATCTCCTTCGTATTGTCCCCTTCAACCTCGTCATCCTTCAGGATCTCAGGGTCTACCGTTGGAACCGCTTGAATGTCCAACTTCGGCTCCGGTGGCTCCGGACGAATGCTCAGCAAATCGATCGACTCATTCGCCTGCACGAAGTCGTCCTTTCTGGTGGTGTCTATGGGCACCTTGGACTTCAGGACTAGGTCCTTCCAAGCTGAGATCTCCGCGTCGAAGTCGGTCCCCGCGGGAACGTTGTAGTCCTCGTCGCCCGGCGAATCCTCCTTCGCCGAAGTCGCTACTGCCTCCCGGACCTTCTGCTCGGTTTCCAAGTTGTCCGCCGGTTCTGCTGTTTTGGTATCCTCGACTATACCGGGTCCTATCGGCTGGGTTGTCTGAGTTTCTAACTCGGGTTTCGCGGTGGATTTCTCCTTGTCCGAGGTGCTCATCGTCGCAACGAGACCACTTGCTCTTCCGAGATTGATGTCGCATACTGGATGAAACGATTGCGTTAGGATGCGAAATTAATTTAATGCATTCCGGAATTAATTTAATTATTTAATATTTTTTTATTATTTAATATTATAATCGTTATCCAGGTTTGTATTTCTTTGTATACCGTTAGCCCTTTCAGTTCGTATGTGGTAGTATGAATTCTACATGAAAAAGTTACACTGTGAAAGTTACATTAAAATAAATAATTACTGAAATATTGACCAAATAATTACCAATACTGACCGGCCGCTCATAAATGAAGGTGTCTAATGTAACATAATTTATTTTTGCTAATATTTTAGTAACTGTCTATTTTAAACCCTATTTGGTATAGTACTTTTTCATGTAGAATTGAATACTTTATCCAAATTCGAGAAGGACTATAAACCATTACATTTTAAAAATTGATGTTGACTGTCATATCTTGATAAAAAAGCAAAATAACTTAAAGCTGATTACAGTACTATGTGCCCCTCTGCAAATCGGGCAATTTTTATCTGAAACATTTTTTCATACAATGAATATTTTATGAGATATTTTATATCTGCACGTTACCGGACTCACCCTATATAATAAAATATAAAATGTAATACATAATATATTATGTGTATCATGTATTATATAATACAACATAATTTATTTTTGTTACCATTTTAATAACTATTTATTTGAGACACTATTTGGTATAGCACCAGACTCACCCTATATAATAGAATATAAAATGTAATATATAATATATTATATGTATCATATATTATACATATACATATAACATAATTTATTCTTGTTACCATTTTAATAACTATTTATTTGAGACACTATTTGGGGTATAGCACATAGATATAATATAGATATAATATATTGTATATTATATATATTTTATATTTATTTTATGTCTTATATATATTATATATTGTATTTTATATTTTATTATAAAGAGCGAGTCTGGTAACGTGAGGACATCAATATCAATCAAAATATACAGTGTCATTATGTCAATAAAAAAAAAACATGTGGGACACAAAACATGGGACAGCGGAGGGTCAAGCACAAGGAGTCAAGTGCAAACCTTTGCCCCAGATCTGTTCCCTGTGAGCGGTCTGAGTCGCTCGGCTTTGAGGTTCCTCCGGGATCTTAATGCCCCACTGGTACCGATAATTGACACCTTGGGCGTCCTGAAGATGCGGTTGTCCCTCCACAGCAACGACATCCGGGAAATTCTCTGAGCCGTCCACACGCATCACCGGCTTCTTTTTCTTCTTTTTCTTCTCCTTCTCCTCCTTCCTCTCCTGTTTCTCCGGCATGTTGGGCTCCCTGATCGGTGGCTTCGTGTTTCTAGGGGAGCAATCCGCCACCCCCCGGACCTGCATGTCCATCCCGTTCGCCATCAACAGAAAGCTGCGACTCGATGGACTCGGGTACCATCCAAAGTACCCAATGGGCTCTGTCGAACAGTTGATTTTCGGTTCAACGTTCCTCTCGCCTATGCTGGCTACCTCTGGGGACGAGCAACTTTCAATATTACGAGGGAACTTTCGCGGCGTGACCTTTGGAGCGACCTTGATTCGGAAATCTACCGATTCCCGGGCTCTTCGGACCCAAATTTCTATGAAGCGTTACATTAGCGCTGATTTATTCGCTCGTGGATCGCATAACGAATCTATTTCATCGAACCCGTGCACAAGTTTCCGTTACTAAGTAATCGCTGTCGATCGGAGCCGACGGTGATCGAGCGGTGAATCTCACTTACCTGTCCTGAAAATGTCCCTGAGCCAGGAAAATACACCCTCTACCTTCTTTCTGTCGCTGTCGTCTGTACATCGCACCGACGCTGCGAAAATGATATTTATTTATAACTTCGATGCACGGAAATTCTTTTATCATCAGTTAAAATCGACTTTGGGGAATCATTCTTTGCACAAATTCGCAACACTACAACAATTATCTATGTTGAATGAACAGCGAATCGAAACGAATCGATGAAGAATTTTCACGAAAAAAATGTAATACGCTATAATTTTGCATAAAAATCAGCAGAAAGAAATTCTTCTTAACGACGAAGAAATGCGATAACAATTAGTCCGAGTAAAACTAACCCCACAAAACCTCGTTACGATGTATTCGTGGCGAGATACATGCAGTATCTGCAAAAATATTGAAACGTGGCAATGAATCCCAAAGCTGATTTGTCTTTCAGATGAAGTTCGGCGGATTGAATAATATTTTCTAAGGAAAATTTCTATGAAAACTCATGTTGTGACAGACTTGCAGTCAGATTCCTTCGGAACAGAGGGTTGAAAAGACCCCGTATAAGATCCACCGATCCAAAATGTCCCCTCAGCATGGCGTCCGAGCGTAGATGGAAAAATTCTGGAGGACTGTAGATACTGGGCGAATTTTGTCGGCAGGCCGGACCTAGCAGATAGAATTTCCAGATTTTCCTGGCTCGATCGATCTCTTCAGGGTTTGTTGACAGGTTCGACAGACTGTCTGATTTTCCCCGGCCGTTTGTTTCACTGTTTTCTCCATTCGCTTCTCCTTTCGAAATCGAGCGCGAGCTACCAACCAGCGATTAATTCTACATTAATATTTTAATTTTAATTCAAATCCTTTAATCGATTTGTTTAATATTAAGTTGTCCCTCAAATATCTTTTACCTCAAAAATCGATGCTGCTCCGAAATAATTTTCCTCTCTGTTCTTCGACCAATTTAATTTATTTAGCATCAACGGGTCAGATATCCTTTTAATTATTGTACAAAAATTCAACGTAATAATAATAATGAAACAATAATGAAAATGAAAATGAAAGCTGAAACAATTTCGATTACAATATACATAGCGAACACAAATTAAACATCCTAATTTCTGATAACATTATACAGCTGATTTTTAAATTTTCCTTTTAAGTTTTCTACATAAATTCAACGTAATAATAATAATGAAATAATAACGAAAATGAAAATGAAAGCTGAAACAATTTCGATTACAATATACATAGCGAACACAAATTAAACATCCTAGTTCCTGATAACATTATACAGCTGATTTTTAAATTTTCCTTTTAAGTTTTCTACATAAATTCAACGTAATAATAATAATGAAATAATAACGAAAATGAAAATNTAATATTAATGAAATAATAATGAAAATGAAAATGAAAACAATATTTATTACAATATACAAAACAAAATTATTAAACATCCCAATTTCTGATAACATTATACAGCTGACTTTTCAATTTTCCTTTCAATTTTTCTACATAAATTCAACATAATAGTAATAATAATAACAACAATAAAATGTTAATAAAAATAAAAGTGAAAATGCAAATTATAACGAAAAAGAAAGCTAAGAAA